TTCTACAAAGGTAAACAAAATGGCTTATTCTCTTTAAAAAATTGACATTGTTTATACCTCCCAAATCTGAACAGTTCCGGCAGACTATGATCACATGTTTGGTTTGTTTTGTTTATAAACTGTACTGCTTTATATAATACCAAGATTGGCCGCTTATGTCGTTTAGAAGTCCAGATAATCTAGTCAGAAAATTTATTTAATAAGGCAAAGCTTTATACTAAAGATATACAAATATTTTTGTTATATAATTTTTTTAACCTAGCATGAGTAATAGTAGTGCTAAAAAGACAGAATTTTCTGCTATCCTTTTTGTTTTCTTTTCTTTGTAATTTTTCTTTTATATTCTCTTTTATATTTGTTTTCTTTTTCTTTGTTTTTGTCATTTTCATTTTATTTGTGTTTTTTGTTATCTTACCTTTATTTGTTATATACCCTTTTAAAGAAGGAAAAATATTAAGAAAAAAGCAATCTTGACAAAGCTAGCAATAAGCTTTCAGTGATTTTTTAAACAAGTTATTTAGTAAGTTAGAAGTAAATTATTACTGTAGCAAATCACACCTAGGCATCATTGTGAGTAGCTAAGTGAGTTTTTATTGAAGAGTAGAAGGGTAAAAGATATTGAGTTTATTGCAGGCGTTTTGTTCGAAAACTATATATTTTGATTATGCATTTCTAATACAATAAAGGTAGAATTGCCAAATTAAAAAATATATATATATAATTTATTTGCAACAACAACTCTTTCTGACAATCACTTGGACCAAATTTTCTGATGAAAAGAAAAGCCTATTTTCGATACTGAAGAGTAGTAACTTGTAGTAAGGTAAATCAACAGAATAGTTTTTATAAAAGTTAATCTTTTCTATCTTGGGACTCCTTTATATATTCAATATACAAGCCAAAAGCATCTATATACAAGATAACTAGCAGAAGATAGTATCCTCATATATGAAATTTTGATAAATAGGTAGAGGTGATAGAAGTTTAAGCCTTCTATTAACAAAGCTATTGGTTGCAAAACAACTGGAGAATAGTAAAGAATGGGCTTCTTTTAAGCTACACTCTTTTTTTCTAACCAAGTGGTTCTTATTATTCTTTTTTTGCTTTCTTGCTTTTCTTTCAAAATTTTTTAACAAAAAGTGAGGATTTGGCTTACCTTTTACAAAAGATTGGTATTGTTTATTTTTCCAAATTCTAGTAGAATGCAACCATGTATTTGTTTATAGACAGATATGGTGCTACTTTACAGAATTTAGTCTGGAAACTTTAATTACAGCAACAGGTGGTTTGAAATATGAGTTCTCAGATAGTAGCAGCACCTGGCTTGAGATATGAATTGGAATAGGCAACAAAGCTATTCAAAGTAGATAGAAGGGTCAGAAAGTAAACTTTAATATTAAGGCAAAGCTTTACAAGAGAGATATACAAATATTGTATTTGTTATATAATTTTTACTAACTATGCATAGGTTATAATAGTGCCTTTAAAGTCTTGTATTTTTTTTTATATTTTTTTTTTAGAATTTGTTTTTTTTTCTTTTCTGTTTGTTTTTCTTTTTTGGTCATTTTTGTAGTTTCTTAGTTTAAACTTTTCTCTCTTTTGTCTTGTGTTTCTTGAGAAGAAGGAAAAATTGGAAGAAAAAAGAAATCCTGAGGTGGAGCTGAGCCCAGGCTAGACTATATCTTTAAATATGCTGTGCTATATATGGAGTATAGTGGCCAATATTAATGTGATAACCAAGGTTGGGTATTTTTAGAAGATAGCTAGTTTTTGTCTAATTATCTTGTTAAATTGCCTAAGCATATATTTGTGATAAAGCACTAAAAATTTAATAAACCCTTTAGTACATAGTTATTAAAGAAAAAAAAAATAAAAAATTTATTAACAATAATTCGAATTATTTTAAAATATACTAAATTTAATAAACAAAATGTAATTTATTTAAATAAATAAAATCTATATTTTATTAATTTTATTTTATTTTTTTTTAAATTCAAGCAATCATACTACAACTTTATTATTTAACATAGACGAAACAAATTTTTACATTTGAATATCTAATTACAGCCAAGCTATTTTATACTAAAGTGCGATTCACCTGGTTTCCAATTGGACCTATATACGACCTGCCAGAGTAGAAGTAGCTTCCTTGCTTCTTCTAAATCTACCTCAGATTTCGGATCTATATATCACTGGCTGGGATCTAATAGCCTGTTATGACCACCTATTCCTTCTTATAAACTTCTCCTACCTAGATCTGAGCAGAATAGTTTATCTCTTACTTTTCTATAAGGGAAAAATATATACCAAATTTACTAAAGAAAAACAAAATTTGGGAAAGAAAGAGACAAAAACAAAAAAAAAGAAATATATATGAAAAAGTATGTCCTGAATAAAATTCTATCATAAAGGGAAAAAAATGAAAGAAGTACAAAAAGAGACAAAGTAGCATGATATACATAAAAGAAAAACAAATACACTATTATAACCTGTGCCAGGTAGAGATGGAAAGGTTTTTTTAAAAACTAGGTTTAGCATGGTTTAAGAGGTTGGTTTTTTTTAAACCTGGTTTAAGGTTTAAATCTACTAAAAACCAGTTCAATTACAATATAGTCAAACCAATTTGGTTTAGCTATGTTGCAATTTAACTGGTTTGGTTTAACTATGTTGTAACCAAACCAATTTGGTTTAAAACTAGTTTGGTTTAGCTATTAATTTGGTTTAAAACTAGTTTGGTTTAATTATATTGTAACCAAACCAGTTTTTTAAAATAGATTAAAGATAAATTTATTAATCAGAAAGCCCTAATTTGTGGAAAATATATAAACATATTTCAATCATATCATCGTCTATACTATCAGTCTTTAATATTATATTATCGGTTCTCGAAAGTAGTCTAATTAAATAATATCATAATAGTTGAGCACTATTTTAATCAATAGAATTCAAATCATTTTTATTAAATGAAAGTATTCTTTTTCAAGTTTAATTTATTAATATTATGCAAATAAATAAAATGCTCTGAAATTGCTAATAAATACTAATATATACAATATTGTAAGCAAGTTCTCAAAAGCCATTTTCCCTAAAAGGAAATTATTAGTTAGTATTAGGTTTTTTCGGGAAAATAGCTTTTAGAAATCATATAGTAACTCTAATATAATACTGCAATAGATGTTAGTTTGCTAATTAGTAATACTGAAAATAAATATTACTACTAATTGTGATGTATTAGATAGCTTACATTTGAACGTTTTAAAGCAAACCTAAAACTACTAGACATCTTTGTTGTATTTGATCAAGGTTTCACAACTCCTGAGGCTATATTCTTGTGACAAAAGATCGATTCAAGTATAATAAATAAAAAAAGAATCAATTCAAGTATAATAAATAAATAAATAAAAAAAATTGATTCAAGTATATACTTTATAAAAAAACATGCAATGTCAGTAAAACAGCACATAATTGGGCAAAAATTGGTTGAATAATAGTAATTTGACAAATGATTGCTAAAGAGCAGTATATGTAGCCAATCATTTATCAAATTACTATTATTCATCTAATTTTTTCCCAATATTATATATTTACACTGTTTATATATATACTTCTATATTTTTTTAATTACATAGTTATGAGAAAATTAGTTGTATCTGCATTTGTATATAATATAATAAGCTTAATACCGTTAAGACCCAAATTGACTGCTTTTTTTCTTGAATAGCAGTATTATAAAATACAGTTGATCCAAACATTAAAGTGAATCGTATTATAGATGTACATATTAAAAATCATGTATTTAATTAATTTATAAATTTTAAATTAAAAGTGTAAATAATGTCAATAGTACAAACAAAGCAAATTATGTAAAGTATTAACCTAATTTCTTAAAATTAAAAATTTTAATTATATGATTGTATATATTTAATAAACATGAACAAATAGCATGGGTAATGTGAATGGAATAACTGATATATTTACTTCATTTAATTAAACTATAAATAAATATAATGATAAATTATTTGTTAAATAATAAATCAGCTAGTCTTAAATCAGATACATAGTAAATACCGGCTATTCAAAATGTTATTTTTGATCTATCTAAAATAAAAGTAATTAAATTTTTTTAATTTACTATTGTTCTTTGATTACAATAATTATGTATCAAGAACAACACTTTGGATGACTAGCATTTACTATATCCCTGCTTTGAATTAGTGTGTTTAATTTTTATGTGATAAGAAATTTTAATTATGTGAATCAATGCAAATAAAAATTAGAAGAGATAAAAAGAATAAATATATTTATATTGATTAAATTTTGATTTAATAAAATCGTATAATATCAACAAGTAGTTGGCACAAGAAATTACTACACTATGCTGCAATTGTTGATCAAAATTTACATATATATTAATAAATATTGCTATTGTATAATTATTGCACTAGTTATATCAAAAGTAGATAAATTTATTATACATTTATGTGTCTACAAGTCTGAACACTCTACATTGAATTGTATTAGTGCATACAATTAAACAATTGGGTTGTCTAAGCATAGTTTTTGTTGTATAGCAACTTATTTTCAAAACACCTTGCACTAATATAGTTCAAATAAGATTAAGGATAAATAAAGATCTTGTTTCTAAAACTATAAATACAAGGCAAAAACAAGTAGCAGCAATTTCATTTTTGTATAGTAAAAAAAAATAAACAAAACAAAAATTACAAATCGCACTTACGACAAAGAATCTGAAAATCATGAATTAATATCTTCTAATAAACGAATATCCTGTGATGAGCAAATGTTCTGTGATAAGCAAACCTCTTCTGATGAGCAAATTTCCTGCAATAAATAATTAGAGATATCCACTTCTAGTGATTTATCATTATCTAATACATCATATAAAAGTGAAGTTTGGAAATATTTTTACAAAAGACCTTTATATACACCAGATTCTAATATCTGTAAATACTACAGCCCTAAAAAAAAAATATAAACTAATGATTGGTATATCAACTCTACGAGCTCATATTGAAACAAAACATAATTTAGAAGTTTCCACAAAACAATATAATCAACAAATTGCAAAACATCTTTTTGACTTACAAACACAAACAAAACATACAAGATATCTTTTAGAATGGATTGTATGTGATCTCTAACTATTTATAGTCATTGACAATAATTACTTTCAGTTGTTTGTCAATTATTTTTGTTCATGCTATATTATTTCTGAAAGATATTAAGTAAAAGAATTAGTCATTAATGAATACAATATTTGACAAACAAAAATTGAAAATAAACTTAGCAACATTCTTGGCAAATGCTCATTAACGGCTGATATTTGGTTTTCAATAGTCAATCAGGAAGCTTTTCTTGGGCTTACTATATACTATATTGATTCTGATTAGCAATTGAGAAATTTTTATTTGATATAATTTCATTTAATATAAGCTATTCAGGTTTTTTTTTTTAACAATGCCTTTTTTTTTTTTTTTACTAATTGTGCTACTTTTTAAATATTTCTAATAATATTTTATTATTATTTTCAGGAGTTAATATTGTCTATACAATTTTGGATACTTTGGATGAATTCCATATTCGTAATAAAGTCCTTGCTCTTACAACAGATAATGCATTAGCAATGTTAGTATGTGGAAGAGAAATTGCTAAGAGCCTTAAGTCAATATTATCTTTAATGACTTTTTTGTATTACTGCTATGCTGCTCATGTTCTAAACTTAGATGCAAAGCAAGAGTTAAAAGAAGTTAGTAATCTGATCAATAAAGCTCGAACAATAATAGTTAAAATTAAAAATTCATCATATCTTAGTTATGAGCTCTATCATTTTTGTGTCTTGAAAGAAATTCCAAATCTTAGACCTATTATTAATACTAACACGTGCTAGAACTCAACATTTTACATATTAGAACGCATACACAAACTTAAACCTGCTTTGGCTTTACTTGCAGCTGACAATCAAACCGTCAAAGATCTTTATTTTACTAAACAAAACTGGGCTGAAATAAATATAAATTTTTTTTTTTTTTTTTTTTAAATTTGGCAATCCTGCTTTTATTGTTTTTTTTTTTTTTTGGTATTAAGGTGACCTCTTTGGTCTGGGAAACTTTTTATTAGAGTATAGACGAAGTTTTATA